GTTGTTACCTATTGTTTGTTGTCCTCTTTTATTGTTTGTTTTAACTGTCTCATGCTTTTACTGACTGTGAAGCACTATGGTCAACACTGTTGTTTTAATATGTGCTATATAAATAAATTTTGATTTGATTTGATTTAAAAAGGAGAGTTAATCAGCTCGTAGCATCTGTGAGTTGGACACAATATTACCTCTAAAAAGTCTTTCCTGCCCTTTGTGACATGGACCATAGGTCATGTCTCCGGTAGCGCAAAGTCTACGATGTCTCAAGTCCAGGGGTCGGCAACCCTGGGCAGGTGTGCTGGCACTCAGTGGTTCCCAAACTTTTTTTGCTAGGCCCCCCTTTGTTTTACAGGAAAAATGTTTGCGCGCCCCACCCCCGCATGTACCAACGCACACACACAAACACATCCTCCAACCACACACACCTATATTTTCCGGTTTATTTCACACCTCAAACATTTAGTAAACAATTAAGCAAATACAAGTAATCTGGAATAAATTACAGGTAGTAATAAAATAAACTAACTCTTTTACGCTACGTCCACACCTACACGGGTATTTTTGAAAACGCAGCTGTTTATGTGTATGGGCCTTTCATCCACACGTAAACGGCGTTTCGAATCACCGAAAACTGAGATTTTTTTAAAACTCCTTTTTTGCGTTTCCGTGTGGACGAGGAATACAGAGTTTGACAGGCAATGTCAAAGGTATGTGCCTTTTTTCACTTCACACTGTGCACCACATTATTGTTTACATGAGATGAATTGCAGAATAGCAGATAGAGACAAAATACTGTTAATCTGACTGTCTGCAGGTTTTACATGCTTACACACACACACACGCAGTTACTGTCCCTCCAGTTAGAAAGGCAGAGGCGTCACGGTGTGATTATTTTACGTGTAGGTGTTTTTTTTTCCCTGTGTAATAATTTTTACTGCCTTACTTTCAGTTAATGTATTTTGTTTTGCACTATGCATATTTTATATGCCATTAGGTCATTTATTGTGAAAATTCTCATGTAGGAACGATTGTACTGCATGTTGGTTCCACCGGTGCACCTGAGGGAGATGCACGCTCATGTTGATGTGTGAGCATGGCAAGTTGAAGGTTTTTTTTTTGTTTTTTTTTGTTTTTAATTTATTTACATTTTGCACACATTTACAATCTCTCATTGGTGCAACAACATCTTTAAATGTTGAGTAAGAAAACAAAAGAAATAGGAGAAGACTAACAGAAAAACAAAAAACAATATAAATATGCGTGAAGACCATTCTTATGACATTTAACAATATCCTTTCCGTGAACACTTTAACATACATGCGGCTTACTTGGTGCACCAAACAAAACACATTCATTAAAAGGATAGAAACTGGGTCCCATTTTCACATATCAAAGCAGCATCTTTACATGAATCCTTCAGTAATTCTAAAGATGACTGTAACTGTCCCTGAGACAGTTGAAATAAAGTTGGTTATTTCATGTTTCTGTGATAGATTCATGCTTAATTTAGTTCATTTATTTATAAGATAAGATGATAAAAGTGTAACATTAATTAAAAAACATGTCTAAAATATGTGATTACAAAATATGGGTTCGTTAAATATGTAAAGTGCTGTAAAGTTTGTATGAGGTAAAGTTTGTAATTGTCACATGACCAGAGTTTGGTTGAGAGCACAACCACGGCTTTGTGGAGCTAGCATGGATACATGGCTACAGATGCATCTACAGCCTCAGCGTTAATGTTATTCTGCATGTTGTCCAAGAGGCGCACATGGTATGGTTTCATGTATATTATTTGTATAATGCTGCATATGTGTTCTACACTGGTAATGAGAGGACATTTTTATGATATCCATTATTGTGCATTTTTTCTGTTCTGCTTGCACAAGACTGTTTATGGACACTGATGAGAGACTGATAAGCTCAAAACATTTAAGTTGTAAACTTTGTGTTTCTTCAGTTTTCACGGTGTCTGAAGACAATAAGAGTGAGAGAGAGAGAGAAATAAATTTCCGAAGACATCAGTATGATGCGTGGCCATTCTTTGTTGGACCCCTGTAGTTACAGAGGCCAAACTGGAGTGATATGAGATCTTCTCTTGGTGCCTGTTAAGAGACGTGCTGCAGCATTCTGCACAGTCTGAAGACGATTTAAGGCTGATTTGTTAAAACAAGTAAAAAGACCATTACAGTAGTCTAAATGTGAAGAAATAAAAGCATGAATAATCATCTCAAGTTCAGGCTTTGACACCATTAGTCTGAGTTTTGAAATATTTCTTAAATGATAAAAACAGTTCTGGACCACCTGTTTGGAATGTTGCTAAAGCGACATCGAGCTGTCAAATATGACACCAAGGTTTCTGAGGCTCGATTTTATATAAGGGTCTAAGAAGCTGACATGCTGCCTAATTTCTGGAACATATGGTCTGGAGCAATAATTAGAGTTTCTGTTTTATCAGAGTTTAATGAAGAAGTTGCTTTAACCATTGCTTGATTTCTGTCAGGCAATTACTTAAACTAGAACAATTTA